CCACAAGAATCGAGGGCCCTGCGCACAAAGGCCGCCCCTATTCAGCTTGTCTGAGGACGGAACCTTGTTAAGAAGAATGTTCGATGGCCCGCTAGCAATATGTCTGGTACCGGGAGATACCGAGTGTGTTCTGAGGAAAGTTCACGAGGGCACCTGCAGAAATCATTCAGGCGCCGAATCATTAGTTTGAAAGGTGATCAGAGCCAGCCATTACTGGATCGATATGGAAAAAGATGTGAAGGAGTTTGTACAAAAATATGACAAATGCCAAAGATATGCTCTTTTGATTCACCAACCTGGGGAACTGCTGCATTCGGTCTTGTCACCATGGCCATTCATGAAGTGGGGAATGAATATCGTCGTCCCTCTTCCATGAGCACCGGGTAACGCTGAATTTATCTTATACTGACTATTTTTCTAAGTGGGTTGAAGCACAGGAGTACAAGAAGGTCAGGGAGAAGGAAGTCATCGACTTTATTTGGGACCATATCATATGCAGGTTCAGAATGCCATCCAAAATTGTATGTGACAACGGGAAACAATTTATCGGCAGCAAGGTGACCAAGTTTCTCGAAGATCATAATATTAAAAGAATCTTATAGACACGTTATCACCCTAGTAGGAACGGATAAGCCAAATCGGCCAACAAAAACATAATCCAAAACCTTAAGAAAAGGTTACGGTGCCAAAGGAAAATGGAAGGAGATCTTGCCCGAAGTCCTTTAGGTATATCGCACGACCTCGAAGTCCAGTACCGAGGCTACTCCGTTCTTATTGGTTTATAGCATCGAAGCTCTAAATACCAATCGAAGTCGGGGAGACAAGTATCAGATTCCAATGTGCAACAAAGGAATCAAATGACGAGGTAATGAATACGAGCCTAGAGCTATTGGGTGAAAGGAGTGAACCGCCTTTGTTCGCTTGGTTGCTCAAAAGCAACAGAACGAGAGGTATTATAATCGAAGGGCCAACCATTGATACTTCAATATTGGGGACTTAGTACTAAGGAAGGTCACACTAAACACCCAGAACACGAACAAAGCGAAGTTGGGTCCGACCTGGGAAGAAACGTACCAAATTCTCGAGGTCGCCGAGAAATGATCCTATAAGCTCGGAACGATGAACGGGGAACATCTATCGAGCTTGGAATGTAACTCACCTAAAACAATATTACTGCTAGGTAAACCCCATTCATTTTCTCTTACTTGTATTTCAGACTAACGCTTGCAGGTGATCGACAAGAAGCAGCACAAAGTCTTTAGGTCTGAAAGCACGTGTTGCATTCTTTTTCCCTTGAATCCGTTTTGTCCCAAATGGGTTTTCCAGCAAGGTTTTTAACGAGGCAACAATGGATCGTACTAACTTAGAATCAAGGACCAATCACGAATCACTTTCAAAGCTGGCATTAACAGTATCTGAGTTTCCTCTACAATCAACCTCGAATACTGGGGGGCATCACCCTCGGATACTGACGTTAGCAAGGAAAGAAACTTTGTAGCTGAAGGGTATCGATCGGTAGGATGCATTGTAAGGGCCAAAGGGGCAAATGAACTTTGCCCACATAGGCTGATCGAACCCTAAGACAAAGCATGTATATATATGTTACTATTTTACACAAGAATAAAGAGAAGTCTCTTTAGCCATTGTGTCCGAATTGTCATCACTATATTCAAGTACTCGATTTACCTGCTCGACCCACTCGACATGCTCCTTCCGAGCCGCTTCCAGCCTGAAGTTTCTCATTGAGAAGCTTGTAGGTATCGCTCTTCTCAGTAAGCTCCCGAACCTCGACCTCGTGTTGGGTTAACTCCTCCCAATATCGGAGGAAAGTTTCATTATGAAGTACCGAGGCCTACAAGCATAAAGAAGAGTGTTACGATCGTTTGCAACTTAAAATCTAAGGTACATAGTAAAGAAGCACTCGAGGTTACCTGATTCAGTGTCTGTTGAGCTTGATTGAACAGGCATGGCGCTTCTACTGCATCCATCTTAGCCTGGTCCTCTTCGGTCACCAAGCACTGAAGATCGCTAGCAACCCCCATGGGGGCGGAGAGAACCTGGGCGTCCTCCGAGGTAGAGATAATTATTGACCGCTTTCGGTCAGAATTAGCACTCAAAGCCGGGAACCGATCCACAACTTCAGACTCGAAGAAGATCCGCTGGCATCAGAAGATGGTGTTTTCTTTGGCGCCGGTAAGTCACCAACCCGGTGATGTCCTCTGAAGCGGTAGATTCTAAACCTTCGAAGAAATTATTGATATATGGCACCCCTTGAGGCCCCTCGTGTGGACGCTCTTTTAGCATACCGGCCTCGTTGATCATGGAATCGGAGAACAGAGGAGACCCGGTGAGGTCAATTGCCCTAAGAATATCTTTCGGGGTACTTTCCTCTGCTTGAGAAGCATCAGCCCCAATCTCCCTCTCGACCATCCTAGCTTGGGGTGAAGTAGCCTCTCCCCGTTCCGATTTAGAGATCCCGGTCAAGGCCTTCTCAGCAGCCTCCCTGTCTTGAGTCAAAGTAGTGTGGATTCGCACCCGAGCCACTAGCTCAGAATTGTCTTCTTCTTCTTCGAACTCATCCCTCAGTCAGTGGATTGAGTCCGATGAGAGGACGCCGATACTTTCCTTAGGTTTACACGCCTGCCTCTTTTCGGTTTCTACTTCTCCGAATTCGAGGAACACCGAGCACCTTTTCTCTTCTTCTCTTTATCCTGCTTCAGAGCAGAAGATTGGGGGAGGAAGATTTTATTTGCGGATGTGGGCCTCATCACAACATCCTTACCGAGGACTACAAAGAAAAAGAGATAAGTATGTTTGGAAAGATAGCCAAGTGATGTCAGTTCTTGGAAAGAATTTTACCGTGAGAACGGGTTCCCACCGGCCCTTTGAAAGTTCGCGCCATGCGCGCTCGGAGTAGGGCTTCTGTGACATGATGCCCTCGACCCACTCCTTGAGTCGAGGAACTGCATCCGGCATCCGAGCGATAGATGCAGCACGAGATATCGATTAGGTGAGAGGAAAGAGAAAGGTAATGGGAAAAATCTTAAAAGTAAAGTCATACTTACGTTTCATGTTCCATTTCTCGCGGAATAACATTTCCTCTGTCGGGATTAGATCCGAGTTCTTCACTCGAACGAACCGACCCAACAATCCTCGGTCTCAGTCTTCATCTATGCTCGATAATTGGGCCTTAGTAGCTCGACGGGCAAGCTTTATCAATCCCCCTCGGTAAAGGCGGGGACTGTACAGACGCATAAGATGGTCGACGGTGAAGGGGTAGTTGTCGAGCTTTCTCACAAAGAAACGAAGCAGAATAACAATCTTTCAAAATGAAGGATGAATCTACCCAAGCGTCACCTCATACCCTTTAGAAAAGTCTATGATAACTGGGTCTAGAGGGCCCAACGTGAAGGGATAAGTGTAAATACTTAGAAAACCCTCCACGTGGGTGGTAATCGATTCCTCGGGCGCAAGCACCAACACGTGCTTACTGGCCCAATTGCAGTCTTCCTTGACCTTGGAGAGGAGATTGTTGGTGATCGAACATATGTATCTCAAGAGTGGCTCCCACCGACCCGGTACGGAAGAGGTTTTCTCGACTTTGAAATCAGCACCGGTTGGGCAACTCAAAGGAACGAACGTAGTTAAAGCAGGCTCCGGTACCTTCTCTTCGACAACAGTAGACGGATCCTTTTCTTCTTCAGCCGGTCTCGAGGAAGAAGGAGTTTCCTTTTGAGGAACAGATTTAGAAGTTTTTGCCACTGCTTCTGAGTAAGCGTGAAGAGATGGTACTGATGAAATAAAGGGCATAATTGGCGGATACTTTATGAAAATTTCCAAAAGACTACAAAGGAAGAAGTTTCAAAACTTGAACCAGAAAACCAGAGGAAGAAGGTGATAAATTTTTTCTTAAAAACACAAGAACAAACATTTGAATGTAAAGGTTCTAAAGAATGGAAGGATGAAGTATTTACAGTTTTCAAATGACGGCTCAAAACCCGTAGTGGCCGACCAACAACTGACATACATTTAATGCCTTGGAGACTGGACCGACGGGACGTTTCAGTTACCTTTTGTCTCTTACGTCATGGTTTATCGAAACAAGGCTCAGAAGTTTATATCGTTTCTCATCATTTTCTCTCCAGATAACGAGGGAACTATCTGTATACGGTCGATACTGGCTTCGTCCATTGTGTGACCAGCTGAGGCTGAAACGTGATAGGTCAGAGCTCGAGCCCGGGTCATATCGAACCAAGGCACAAAGTTAAATCGTTGAGCTCGTGACTCCAGGACCGAACAAGATTGAGGGTACTTTGTCGAGCCAAATAACATAGGCCGAAATATCCGGGATCGGTTGGAGATCACGACGGAAATCTCGGCACGTATCAAAGAGAGGTCGATTAATTAGCAAATCATGAGACTGGTTACCTTTTATAGAATTGTATCAAGAGTAGGACTCCCCTACTATATAAAGGGAGGTTTGATCATCTGTAAATACATTGTAATACGTAGCAAAAAGCAATAGACTGTTATTTCTAGTTCACATCATCTTGTTATTCTTGTCTAACATCAGTTGAAGCATTTCTTGGCTCGAGGGTGATCAAACTCAAAGGCTAAGGCTGTTCAATTTGTGTTGTTTGCATTTATTTTCTTATCACTAATTTTAATATTAATCTCTTTTCTTAATTTGTATCAAGTTATATCACGTGTCCTTAAAACCGCGTATAAATTCAATTGTTATCCGATTATGAGGGTAAACAATTATCTTTGCTATAGCTAGGCATTTCTTAGAGCAGTTTAACTATTATGTCACCCAAAAGATAACTAGCTAGGTACATGTCACGGGATTAAAAATTTTAAAAATAAGGAACAATATATAAAATACGTTGATAAATATATAGTGTTAATATTTGTATGTAAGTTGATTTTGTAACAAAAAAAATAAGAGTAAAGATAAAATTATTATAAAAAGAAATAAGAGGAATGATAGGAGGACAAACCCGAGAATCCAGATAACGCCTCCAACAAAAGCGAGGACAAGAGATATAAGGGCAAATAGAAGTCCCAACAGAAATGCTATTGGCCGGCATTTGAATTTTTCTTCACTTTGCTTCTTCTGCGGATCTAGCCATTCTGCACTTTCTTTTGTATCTTCACCGGCTTTCTCTTCATTTTTCTTGTCCTCAGTTGGATTTTCTTCTTTAACTTGTTCTGCAGCTATATTTGCATCACTTTCGATTGTTACAGTCTTTGGTGCAGTGATGATCCCTTGATCATTTTCCTTTGCTGTTTCTTCTGACTTTGTTGCTTTTTGTTCGTGATCTCCTTCAATGGGTAACTGTGACTTTGTTGATTTCTCCTCGTTGATATCCATTGCTATGAGCTCAGCGTAGTAGAGAAAGAAACCTTGTAGTAAATTGAATTTTTTGTTTATCCCCTTGCATCTAGAAAATAATACAAATGTCAAGGTCAATACGCTTAATATATTTTTACTAAAATTAAGAATCTATTTCAAATGGACTATTTGGTGTGTCCAACTAGTTCAGAACAAAAAAAACTACTTCAGGAATGAATAACTTATACTGCGTAACAGCTGACTTTTAAAAAAATGCTAAATCAGTGACCTGGCTCGTTCCCTTGGTTTTCTTCCTAAATGAAACAAATATATAAAGTCCATCAAGACCGAAGAAGAATTTAACGAAAGAAAAAGAAACAGCTTACTAGTATAATCTTTTCTTTATTTCTTTCTATTTTTCAATTTTGGCATATATATATATATATATATATATATATATATATATATATATATATTAAAAGCACGAAGCCCTTATCGAAATATCGTTCGCCTTTTTTACCCTTATTAAGTGTATTTTACACTGGATATAATTGTAATTGTATCTAATAATATTTTTGGGTTTATGTTATCAACGGTGTCGTCGGTTTACGATTCTTTTATTATCAATCTTAATTGCTCTATAAAAGGAATCTAATCAGGACATTACTACAAAGTTTCAAGAGCTTGAGTTTTACCGCAAGATAACTTTAGTAATATTTTCAACTATTATGGGTGTGTTGCAGTAAAAGATCAACAATTGCTAATTCTTCAAGTTGATTTCTCGAGCAGATTTGAGCATGAGAAATCATACTCTCCAGCTTTGGCTATTGTTCAGAAAGGGGATTATGGCTTGAAGGACAAGGATCTTTCATCTTTACATACAGAGAATGCAAATATGGTTATCCGGTTGAATGACTAGATTATGACTATCGTTATGACATTTAATTTGGTAAGTACTTTTTTAGAAGCTCCATTGATAATTCTTTTAGCTATTCTTGAAATTTGGTTAATTAGGTAATTATTTTTACAATATTTTTTCGACAAGTAGTATCGATTATAGGTTACAAATAGTAGTTATTTGAAATCTATTTGTTGAAATTCGTTATTGTCAACAAAACTTATATATAACGTTTTGCTTTTATATTCACAATTTTACATCAAGATTATACTTCTATGAGTCCTATGGGGTTATACTGGGTATGTTGTTGTTGTTGTTGTATTATACTCCTATGTGTGTGTGCTTTTTTTTTCTTTTATTGTTTCAGTTTAACCAATAATCACTGACGATGTAAAGAATTTTACACTATTAGGTAATCTTTAACGCTTTACTTTCAAGATCACAAATCAGACTTTTAATGGAGTTTACTTGTTGTATTATACTTCTATGTGTGTGCTTTTTTTCCTTTTATTATTTCAGTTTAACTAATAATCACTAACGATGTAAAGAATTTTACACTATTATATCATCTTTAACGCTTTACTTTCAAGATCACAAATCAGACTTTTAATGGAGGTTACTTATAGGATAATGCAACAAAAAAAAGGTAATTATAATGCAAATGTTTGATAATATTTCGAGCTAACAGACACATGGATGATTTTGGCAGGAATGTGACGAAATAAGATGCATACACAAGGTGATATACGAAAATTGTATGAGTAATAAATAATGATATAATACATGATGGATCAACTTCATTGCTTCTGATCCGAGTAATTTTGTTGGGTTTAACATTCATCATTTCTGATCTAACAATGTAGTTTAAAAAAACTTATATTTATTGATATAGGGTACACGCGCAACGCGCGTACCCTAAGACTAGTTATTATAAAAGTGGGAAGCCTTTAACTAAAAAGTTGAATTACTTAAATACCCTTCTTTTATGCCCTTCTTTTAAATACCTTATTTATACCAAAACTTTTAAATAAATACCAAATTTATTTGAAGGGATGTGATGCTTCACATTAGTAAAAGTGGTGGCTCTTCACAATCTTTAAATCTAAACGCAAATATTTTTGGCGGGTATATCAATTGAAATTATAAAATAAGAAATAAACATAAAGCCTAACTTTTAGAAAGGCAACTCAGATTAAAAAAGAAAAAAAATTCATGGTTCTATTTCACATCTAATTGAGATACGACACCTTCTTATCAAATAAGTTTCTATGAACTTTTTCAACCCTTTATTATCCCTTGAATATTGGCTTATGATTTGTGTGATAAATGCAATTATCATATAAGGACCCTTGGTTCAATCGGACCGGTTAACCTGTAACTTCAACATGTCAATGCCACACATTTCATCGGTAGAGTAGTTTTTTTTCTATGTCAGGTAAACTCATTCTAATGTGATTAATTCTTTAATCTATGTGAATTTTTATCTATTTAATTAATAATCATGTTACCTTTTGAATGATTTCTTGGCATTTTTTTTTGTTTTTAGGTTCTTATTTTAACCAAACATTTTTTATTTTGATTTATCTGCAAAGTTCTTAAATAATGTTACACTGACGCAGTAACTCCCATGGTACATTGTGAACTCTAATATGATTATTCAATATATCTTTATTTGTTTCTCATTCAATTGATGATCATGTTACTTCTGAAATCTCTTAGCATTCCTTGTTTAATTTTATTTATTTAAAATCAAACAATTTTGATTTTAATTTCTTTTATAAAGTTTTTGAAAAAAAGAAAAATGTAACACTAACAGGGTAATTTAGGTTTTACCAAAGCTTGGTCCATCCAGAACTAATTGATCCACTATGAAAGAAGGTAATAGAATGATGCTATTTGATAATGAGACCATCGTGGATTCTATGACGAACCTTTAAAGAACTACCGCAAATAAGTAATAGCGGATTCTAAATCTTCCAGACATCATGTGCAGTCTCTTGATGGCTATACCAATCTTAATTTGAAGTGAATGGATCAGTTCGGTGCTCTGTGTTAAGTTAGAAAGTCATAAATTATTCTTCCTCCTGGATCTCTTATAATTTATTTAACAATTCCCTATCCTCCATGTTTTTTAAAAGTCTTCTTTCTACGAATGATATGGTGGAAAACTTTAAGTTGTGATCTAAAAGTTGTAGTTCTACAGATAGACTTGGGAGTAATTTTACCGTTTGGAGTTAAAAGTAGTATTTAGAGATAGACTTCGAATAATTTTAACACTAGAGGGATGTTGTCCATGGTACAGAAATTGTGATTCCTACTTAGAGTTAAGATTTGCATTTTTGGTAAGTCTACATGTCTGTTAAATGATTTAAACATCTAATTAGGTTTAATACTGGCTGATTATTATATTTTAACTAGTATCTATGAACGTACGTTGCACGTTAATAATGGCATATGATGGTTTAAAAATTTATTTATATGAAGGAACAATAAAATTTAATTAATGAGATAAATTTTATGTATAATAATACAACAATCATCTAAATGCTGAAAATATTATTACATTAGCATAATACATGAATTTAAAATAAAAGGACATTTTCAAAACTTACACAAATGATCAATTTTGTCATGTTAGTTAGATAATTATGTATTATAGTTTAAAAGTATTTAATGTGATGGTATCTTAACGAACACTTCTTTGTGGACAATATTTTTTTGTGTATGTCTCCTCCTAGTGCTTTGGTTGCTCTGCCTTAACCAAAACTCTTGTTGTCGATCTTGATATCCCTATTGAAAGGGCAACAAACAGTTATTCGTGCAAGAAAATATATTGCATTAAATATAATCCAATATCTAGGATGTTTGTCTTTGTCCTTTATTTATTATATTTGCAAAACATAAACATACTAAAATTTTTATTTTCACACAAATTTAAACGAATATTCCTTAGTTCCGAAAGACGAAAGTTGAATTCTTGGATAAGAATATACTTAGAAGCATATTGACCAGTATCATAATTTTTGCATGTATGACGTTATTGTCAAAACTTCTATATACCATATGTATCTATTACATAAGCTATTCGGTGAATGTAAGTTCTTTTCAATAGCATGACAAGCATATTTTTCTTTAAAATCAACTTATATACAATGGAAGATCAATTAACTTAGTCTATTTTTTATATACGGTGACACTAACATAAGTAAGAAATAATAAACTTGACATGCATGGTAGAAGACCATTTGGTATTAAAATATTTAAGTATTCTTCCTGGTAGTAATTATTGGTATCATTTTCTACTGAGTTAAAAACAGAAAAGCATTTTGTTTTTACTATAAAATTTTGCAATCAACATTTTATTTAGTTGATCAACATATTCATTTCTGCTAGCTAAGATATCTTTTTAGTTATATCATGTGATTTGCGCAAATTGCGTTTTAATCTAATGATAGAATTATTTCTCTAATTAAATGTACTATTATTACCTTTGGGATTGATAACCAAGTGTTCGGGAAAAACCAAATAATCTTTTATTGGATGCTCTTCTTTGTTTCCGACATGAATCAAGAAGACACTGAATACTAGATTTATTCTTATTTTATGTTTCTTGTTAGTTGAATTTTTTATTTGAGGCCAGAAGTATAACTTTGGCAAGCTAGCTTTTACAGTCTCTGCTTTTGTCGATTATGGAACTACTGGTAGTACTTGACATAAATTACCTCCAAAATTATTAATTTCCACAAAACAGTTCATTAATATCCAATATATCTCTAGAACTCCGGGCAATTATTCCGGTCGTTTGACATTTAGCCATATCCCATATTATCAATTTTGCTTTCCTTATAGATTTAGCACCATTGCCTGCTTTGATATATTTGTGATGGTTATTTAAGTTGTTTGAGAAGGTATATCAAATCTAAAGTGGG